TCTAGATAGGACTCAGCCTCCTCCGAAGAAGTTTCTGGCCTTTGAGGCCACTGTTGGGAAAGCTCCAGATGCGAAGCTTCTGTGCCTGGGCCGTGCCATACTTAGAGTCAACTCGCGTAGAAGAGGTCAGGTGACGTGTATAGGAGTAGTGATACAAGCTATTGTCAGACAATCGCCCTCCTTGACTACGAGGCGAGACCCAAAATCATGTTTTCTATTGGAGACCCCGGTCTCCAACCGGAGCAGTGACTTTCAACACCCCGTACTGGCGGCAAACATCCCTGACCGGCAGTATTATCTGAGCTCATTTTTCAAGGATCTTCTGAACCAGATGCCTGCGCTAGTGATCTTCTGGGGATGAAAGATGATGAAAGGAAGTGCTGTCAGAATTTGGAGATGTGGGCGTATCAATAACAACAGCAGCAACAGCACCGTCACCGCTACCGTCACCGCCACTGCCACCGCCGCCGCCTACAACAACGAAAACAACGACAACAACGACGACAACGACGACGACGACGACGACGATGACGACGACGACGACGATGACGACGACGACGACGACGACGACGAAAACCACAACAAATACAACGACGATGACGCCGCCGGCGACAACGACGACGAAGAAGACGATGGCGACATTAAGAGGAGCTGCGCAAGGAGGAGCAGGAAGAGGAAGAGGAAGATGAGGAGGATTAGCCACAGGCACGCCCACAGCAAAACAACAGCAACAGCAACAGCAAAAACAACAGCAGCAGCAGCAGCAGCAGCAGGAACAGCCACACGCACAGTCAAAGGCAGAGCAAAAGCAACAGCAGCAGCAGCAAAACTTTAAGCAATGAACATGATAGGTAATGCAATTAGCCTCATTTTTGGCTACTGCTGCCACTGATATTCCTCCTCCTCCTTGCCGCTGTTGCTGCTGTTGCTGTTGCTGCTGCTGCTGCTGCTGCTGCTGCTGCTGCTGCTGCGGCGCTGCTGTTCTTTTTGATCAGAGGTGTGACGGCTCTAGCAACGACCCAATGCAGGGGTTCAGCATGCGATGCCTTTGTACGCAGCTAAACCCAGGTCCAGGAATCGGGAAGCGCACGCTCCTGCAGGCGGCACCTTTTTTTGCGGATTTGGGGGGTGTTCTTTTATGGCCTCAAGCAATCGTCTTGCAATGCTTAACTTGGGTTTCAGGATGAGAAATTACAGCTGCGGTCGGTTGAAGGAAGGCTCAAAGACGAGCTTCTCGAAGGCATCCCGCAGAGGCAATCCTGACAACGTTCGCCCAAACATACTGGCAATTGCATGTGTTCGGTTTCCGAAACTGATTTCCTGTATAATGTTAGAGCATTGCGAAAATTTGTGCGAAGTTGCTTCACCTTAACATGCCTTAATGCTATTCTGAAAGGCTAGACCTGTTAAGAACAGTGAAGTGATGCACATGGTTACCCCGGCCCTGAAGTCTCACTAAGGCTACAAGCTCTGCATTATTGGTTTTCTCAGACGGCTTTTGGTCAAGTAAGCTGCATAGCTACACGAGTACATAACGGTTTTCAGGATCAGGATTAGCAAAGGTTGTAAGTTGGGTTAAGGGTTTAGGAACATGAGAACCATGTGACTTCCAGGGCTCTGCAGACATGCCAGGAGGGGACAAGCACCATTGCCAGTCCAGTCCCGTTGACCTCTGTTTGAGCTAGACCCTAAACTCCGTTTAGGGGTTTATATAGGGAACTAACTAGGGGAGCATTATAGGGGTCATTGAGGGTAATACTAGGAGTTTAGACTATAGCTCATATCGGCCCAGAGTTTTGGGGTCTGGGGTTAGTCGCTTTGTAGAGGCAGAGTGAAGTACTAGATCTTACGAACTATCCCTTGCATCCTGTCGTGTTTTTAGCAGCTAGGTGCTGTGCTCTGCAGCCAGAACTGATAAACTCCGGGGCCCACTTTAAGGCCGACATGAACTTTACGGGACTCTACGTTGCACAATTCTTCAGGCGCACCATTCCAGAAAGGCCTCAGTTGAGGTAAGGTTTGCAGGTTGATCAATTCCTCGTTTCGGTAATGGGGATTTATTGGGATCATGGACAAGAAGCTGGAAACTACTATATAGTATATTGGGGTTATATAGGGACGATTGAAAATAAGATGGAAACTACTACACTATCATAGAGTATATATTGGGTTTGTTTTGGGATAATGGGAGAGAAAATGGAAGCTATCATTTGCGGTCATAATTGCAATGGTAATTGTTGATGAACAATCCTTTCAGCCTCAGCTAGAGTTGATGTCATTACAATACCAAACTTACGTGGAGGAGGTTCATGGGTAGAGGTAAGTAAGGTTGTCAGCACTTCACGTCAGGCTTTCCGGTGTACAAACCTACTTCGCAAAGCCCATGCTTTGGGGAGAAACCGTATGCTCCTGGCAGATGCCCTCTAACCCCCCTTGCACCCCTACAAACCTCTATGCAGCTGCCCACATTTATGGAATCGCCATATCGCTTCCTTGTCCCTAAACCCGCAAACCTAAACCCTGATCCCCAAGTCAGAAGCCCTGGACCCAGCGGCCCACAGGCACTCCATCAATATGCCTGCCCTTTGGCCGTCCAGACGGAGGCTTCGGCCTCCCATGAAGTTGGCCACAGCCGTGCTGTAGGCTGCCATGGGGCACGCGGGGTTGCGAGGTTCAGGGATTTGGAACTTGAGACCTCAGGTCTTGGACGTAGGATCGTGAGGTCATGCATTGAGGGGCCAAGAGCAGCAATCTGTGCCGCAGAAGTGTTGCCGGGTTCGGGTGATCTGGGGTCAGGTCAGGGGTTAATGGTTGGTGTTTCTTGCTCGAGGGCCACCAAGTTTGTTTTGTGATAAGTTGATCCCTTGATGCCATGTCTGAGGATCTTGCTTTAGAGCGAGATCGCGCAAGCAAGGTTTGATAAGCTGTTTGTTGCTGGGACTTTCTGCTGATGTTTTTGGCAAATCAGGGCTTAGCGAACACTGGGCGTGGCTGTTTCTTCTCGTTGTACATGTCCGCTTCCTTGAGAACCGCGGTGCAACAAAGGTCGCGACTTCAAGCCTGTTTTTGTTTTACACTCATAAACATACAAGGCCCAGATTTGCATGTTTGAATCTGTCAGACTACAGCCCGCTCCCATGTGTCTACTCAACTAGCAGCAGCTCCTGAGCCACCTCTAGTCCGCAACTTGAGCTTGGCCCTTCTGCAGCCGCCTCTGTAGGCACGAGAAAGAATCCCAAAAAAGGGATCAGCCAGGGTTTCTGGCAGTCTAATTAGCCGCTTCACTCCAGCTCAGAACTATGCGCTCTTCAGTTGGATAGTTGGGCTTTGAAGCAAACAAACGGCATGTTAGTTTCAATGCGCTGTCCACTTGACTTGGGCAGTGAAGCCCAACGCCGAAGCCAAGCTGAACACCAAGAATTGAGACCCTGTTCTTACACAGATCGGAGCACTCTGGCTGTAGAACCTATAGGCTTCAGCTACCGGATTGGAGACAAGTCATGAACTGACTTGACAGGCTTGATAAAGCGGCTGATTGGGGTTTCATTTTCGAGAAGGACTAGCTTTCTTTACTCAGTCCATTCCCTCTGAAGCTTGATCTCGGTCTGTTGTATCGCCCAGAGTGCAAACCTAAACCCTAAACCTTAACCCTACATACCCTTAGCCTATCACGATCATGATGCTTTACCGTGGTTTTTCTGCAGAAGGATCACAAACCCAATCATCTCGGACCTTAAGCCCTCGACTTCCTTAAGCACTCAAGTGTAACTGGAAAGGCCTGGACTTCGCCCATTTCGGAGTGTCTTACTCAGCATGTGGCAACCGTGATGAGCGCAACAGGGAAGGCATGCTACAGGGATAGGGGCAGCCGCCTGCCAGAAAGGGGACCCACTTCAACACAGCTGGAACTTGGAGAAGCTTATGTACTACCCACACCTGTGGCAGACTTTTTCTATGACAGGTGATTTCTTGTGGCGCGTCAGCCAACATTTAAACAGAGCGGCAGTAAGCATGTCCGAGCTTGTGTTTTAGCTGCTTAAGTACGAGAGTTTTGCTGGCGTACCGTAAGTCATTCTCGAGGTAGAAGCAGGATTGGAGGGCATACAATGGTGCTTCTTCTATGTATATATATATATGTAAATAGCTCGGAGTTTGAGCTTCATTCTGCGATTGTTTCAGCTTGCCCGTGGTGCTTTCATGATTTGTCAAGGAATTGTGGCCACTTGTCATCCTTCCCGGACTTCACCGAAAACAAACAATAGGGCGTTTGGAGAGAAAGCACCTGTAAGATGCTTGCAGGTTTTGATGAGGTTATTTGAGACAGCCAGTCTGTCCGCCCGGACGGAATTTCCATATAGCTTGCTAAAAGTTCGGGACCTGTGGAAATCTGACGTGAGAACCTGGTGAAAGGCTTTGCATGCATGACCTTATCCGTGAATCTTTTGCACGCGCACCGAGGAGGTTTTGCAAATTATTGTGATTTGTGTTAAGCTGCGGCTGTAAGTTTCTTCTGAATTCGTATTCCAGGGGGGCCTTCTGCTTTGTTGCTCCATGCTGCAGCTACGGCTCTAGTCTGATACCGAACCCTGCATATGAAGCAAGATGCGGAGGCATGATCGGGACATAGAATTAGGAAGTTTAGGGGCAGCTTCCTCTTCCATCAGCTTTCTGGTTTTACAGAGCATGACACTTTATGAAAGCATTCTGCAATGTTGGAGACTGTAGAAGGCTGACATATTATGATGCAACCCCAAACCTAACCCACCCGGATCTCAGCAGTGTCCGCCTCGCGATTTGTTTCGGCGATGCCGGCAGTATTCTGAGTTTTCTCAGCATGCATGCCGGACCTACTTGCACCAGACTGTGTCATGATTTGAGATGGCCATCAGTATCATCTTTGCACGATCCGCGGTGGTTGCCATGCTATTCCGAGTCTGTATGTTGGCAGTCTCTAGAATCCAAGTGTGAGCTCTGATACTGCTGCTGCAAGCTGCATCGCCATGGCCTCGATTTTCGATGAATCGCGACGATGTCTCTGGACTGCATTCGTAGCCGAAGTCTGGCTTTGTTGCAGCTTCTGATGTACTGGGGGGAGTATCTGGAGAATTGCAAGTTGAAATTCTCACACCTGTCTCCGGCAAGACCACGTCCTTGGTCTGTGAAACGAAATAACAGTTTGCGGCAAGCCAGGTCGGATGAAGGAGCTTTCAATGTAGGCTTCTGGGTTCTCATTCAGGGTGTTCAGATTAGTTAGCACGATGAGATGCATGCTTTGTTCAGCATAGCTGTTAGCGGAGGTATTTGAGCCCGAAAACCCGAACTACGGAAAACTCTCAAGTATGGTTCAAGACCTTCACGACCCAGAACATACATGTTATGACAAGGCTGTAAGATGTCATGGCTCAAGCATTGCCAGACAGGGGATGTTTCCTTGGCTTTTGGTAAGCCACAGCGATTCTCCTCCCAAATGAGGGCCCTCCTGTACATCCCCAGAATTGTCTAATCTTATTGCCCAAAAAAGGGGTCATAGTGTTGAGAAAAAATCGTCATGATGGCCAGTACGACTAATTAAGCACCTGAGATGAGCTGGCCAGAGGGTTGTGGATCCTTGCTGGTACATTGGGGTTATATTGGTGTTATATTGGGATTAATGGAAAAGAAAATGGAAACTACTATAGTATATTGGGGGCATATAGGGGTAATATTGGGGATACATTGGGGATATACTAGCTGGTCCGTGCTGCTCTTGGCTCGCTAGTATAGTCGTCCGTGATCTAAACCGAGGCCCTGCTGTGCTATGACAAGTACGAGCAACCAGGATTTTCACCGCGACTGTCATCAGAAGTCTTACTTTGGAAATCTCCCAGAGCCTAAGCACAAGTCAGCCTGAGATCAGCATGCTGAGGGATCCTCATCAGCTGTCTGGGGGCCTACTTTCTCTCCATGGCGATGATCTATCAGATGCCCTGGCTAACAGCAGAGACTGTTGGCGTGTTGGTGTCAGGGTCCATACTTGAGGGGGCAGTTGTCAATCGCATGGGTCACATTGAGCTGCGCAGCCCAGAGCACTTTTGAGCTTCAGAGGTGGGATCCTGCAATACGCAGCTTCTGACTTGTTGTGGCAAGAGCTGAGGGTTCAAGTCCACCTTACGGAAGGTCTTCACGTTAGTGATGTGCATAAGCCCAAGGTCTGCAGTTTGTATCCAGGATTTCAGACAAGCATAAGAAACTGTGGAATCATCATAGAGTTCACAAATGTTCACAGTATGCGGTTGTCGACCCAAGCAGCACCAATCATCAGTCAGTTTGAGCTGGTGAATAGCAGTAGCTTGGCTTGTACATCGGGCAGGTTTTCCCTGGGCTGCCTGTAAGACAACACTGAAACCTGAATCCCAAATGTGAAGCTGTGCAGCATACTTCTGCAACCCTGAATTTCTCCCAGCTCCGGGCCTTGTTGAATGACTGCCTGGAAACCCCATTATTACCCCTATATATCCCATTATAGTAGGTTCCATTTTCCACTATCCCTCTATAAGCCCTACATTATACCCCATTAAAATAGCTCCTGTACTATACCCTATTATACTAACCCCTTTATTATACCTTATTATAGTAACCCCTATATTCTACACTTTAATAGTAGTATCCGTTTTATTTTCCATTCTCCCAAAATGAGCCATATATAGATTATAATAGTTTCCATTTTCTTTTCCATTATCCCTATATGAGCCATGGTCTAAACTCCTAGTATCCCCCGTTATAACCCCTATAGTAATCCCCTATAGAATCCCCTATACAACCCCCTTTAAGGAGTTTAGACTACAGCTCATATAATCCCGTATATTCCCCCCTATATTCTGATAATCCCTATATAATCCCTATATCATCCCTATATAATCCCCATATCATCCCTATATCATCCCTAAAAAATCCCTATATAATCCCTGTATAATCCCTATATCATCCCTATATTCCCCCCTATATTCGGAGCCGAGGATGAGCCCCTTCTTCCAGATCTATGCCAAGGAGTGCCTTGCGTAAATGCAAAGAACACGAGCAAGGAACGCTAGGCCCCAACTCAAAGCGGTATTATTATTGGAAATTGGAGAATAACATGGAAACTACTGTAGTATATGAAAGGGTTACATCGGGATTATAGGATATCTGAAAGTTGCAAGTTGAAGACTTGAAGGTGATGCTCCTAAAGCATGATTCCGGGTTTTGGAGTGCTTGATCCTGCCACCCGTATGGGCTGACACCATGCTTTGAGGAATGTGGGGTAAGCGTGTTTAGGGCTAGGTTTGCAGGACACAACCGGCGCCGACGAAGCTACTGTTGGAGTGATCTTCGCAGTCATGCCATCGGCCTGCTTCATAGGCCGGGATGTGAAGGAGTTTCCCAGCTCGTTGTTTGCTGCCCTATGCCTGGGCTTTTTTCATATTCCGCTGTCTAAGTTGAAGAGCCGTGCGGATTATCGGGGGAACACAGCATGTAGGAAGAAGGATCTGTAGGAGTCTGAGCAGCTTTACACAAGCCCTGGCACATTTTGGCCACGGCCACAAGATGTGGGCTTGGCTGTCAAAGACTCAATCCCCCTTAGTGCTGTGGAAACTCCTGTGCAGACAAGGCATAGTATTAGGGATATATTGGGATGATGGGAAAGAAAATGCAGACTACTATAGTGCCAGTTTCAAGAAGCAAAGAGTTCCAAGTGAAACAAGACGGCCGGGGACTAGCTTGTTCTTCACGCTTTTGCAGCTAAGGACGCATGAAAGACTTAATTAAACAAATCGTCAACTGAAACAAGACAGGCCGCGGCTCCAAAACAGCCTCATAAGTTCATCAAATCATGGCATGCCGTAAACTCATTTGAACAATGTGGCAAATGGGGTGGCCGCTTCCGACCAACACACTTCGTTCAAAAAGAACATGCTGTAAGCTGTTGCACAGCTCCGTGCTGTTGCCTCTTTAAGTAGCTACGCGCACAAAGGTCACAACAGATCGTGTTTCCAGAATACGATGTTAAGCTCGTCTGCCGCAAGACGGAACGTGTCCAAAGCCCCCGTAATTAGACCCGGGCCAACCTGGAGGCAATCTGGGAATGGATCGGATGATCTCAAGGCATTGCTCCGGGGGTGTATGCAAGTGCGTCACAGTCGATGTGGCGGTATGAGCCCTTGGCGCTTGGGGCTCAAGGCACAGGTCTCGCGCCTCTGCCAAGATATGTCAGCAATACCTAAATCCTTAAGCATCAAGAGGCCAGGTCGCCATTTGACTTTGTAAGTCTGCTGTGCCTGCATCTGGACTGTATGTGAAGGCGGACACCTGAGTTAAGGGATCTCACCATGGCTTCTGCTGTCACACCCAGTTGTACAAGTTTTACCAGGTCTCTTGCATGCAAGTCCAACGCGCACAGCATTTTGAACAAGACAGCCTGAGCTCCGTCTCGGTTTTCCTCATCTGGAAGCAATTCGTATAGCTGGGCAAGCGCGAACAGGCAGGCTCCTGTCAGCCTGAAGGATGTGGGCTTGTTATCGCAGGCTCGGTGTGGAAATGACTCTCAACGTTGGCCTTGCGCACCTCGGGCATGCAAAGGAAAGGTTGATTTCCTCCAAGTCCTCAATCTATGCTAGCAGTCTTACAGGCTTCCCGGGATAGAGTGTGTTTGTCTTTCATTTCTGTTACAGGAACCGGAGGCATTAGGACTTCCATGCTACCTGGCTTTTCCACTGAAGAAAAAGAGCGGGGCATATGCACATGAGTTTCAGCAGCTCTCGTTCTCCATGGGGATGTCCCCACCGGGCCACTCAAGATTATGGTGGGTTCCAGATTGGATTCACAGGAGTTTCCTACACGGTATTCTTGAATCTTGTCCAAGGTTCGTTACCTATATTTCTGATGTCCCATGTCTCTTATGTCCCATGTCTCTTATGTCGTTGCCCGAATAGCTATGAAACGCTCCTAAATTGTTGCAGTAGGGGGACCCCCTCGTAATAGGCGGTTGGGGGGGGTATGTCACTATGGGCGCCGCCTATTCCCACGCCTATTCTACCAGTGTGGGGTGGGGGTAGGAAAAATAGGCGGGAATCCTCAGTTTCAAGGCCGGATTGTTGTGCCAACTCCCTCATGGCAATGTGGTCAAGGGACCCCCAGCACTTCAATGATATGGAATGATATGGAAATAGGCGGGCCGCCTATTTCGGGGACCCCCCACATACCCCCACCCCCGAAGGGGTCCCCCTGTTGCAGTAAGCTGAAGGATGATGTACTTAAGGACTGAATCTGAATCATTTAGGCTCCTACATATGGGTGGTTGTCAAAATTATGGTCCCTTTTTGGGTGCCCTAAATATTAGGTGCCGTATTATAATAGGGACCCAAAAAGGGACCGTAATTTGACAACTATTCACATCCAATCTCCTGACCTTTTGAGCTTTTCCCATCTTGGTCGCCTTGTTTTTAGAAACACGAGCGCACAGCTAGAATTGAGGCATGCTCGAAAAAACACTGGACATTCTTGAAGGCTCCTTTGGGCATGTTCTTACAGTCTCTTAAGCCTCCTGGTTGGTTGAGCTTCCGGGTAGAAGGGAGGAAGGTCCCGAAATTATTAATGCTGTCAGTGCATGCATGCAGTATTGTGTAAAGCTGCTTGTTCAGGTTCTTCCCTTGCATTGTACACCCGGGCAGCAGGGAGACCAAGTACCCAAGTGGAAAGAAATTTTGCTTGTCCACTTTAAACGCAACTCATACATGTGACCCTTAGACCCATTGTGTGGACTCCTGAGTTCCAAATTGAGGCTCCTGCTAAGCGGCAAGTTACACCAAGCTTGTTTGCGACATGCCGTTTCATCTGTTGCGGGGCCAGCAACAGCTGCGGCTTGAAAAGTTGTAGCGTGTGTCGCTGATGGCTATTGGCTTTCCTCAAGCTCATCCCCTTTGCTTACTTGGCTGAAAGTTAGGAGGAGCCAGGGGTACCCCAAAGCAAAAGCCCAAAACGGTTGGGTTGCCATGAAATTGTGTACGTGCAGTACCATTACTTGGACAACATGCTTGCTAGAGTCCAGCTCCAAAACATATCAACCTTGTTGCGTTTGAGCATGTCAACCTAGCTTTAACCCCTGGGCCTTAGAGACCTTAGGACCTACCAACCACATCATCCCATGCCTACGATAAGCCTGATGTGTTCAATTTTCCTGCGGAGTGGCATAAGACATTCTTTGTCCGTTGTGAAAAGATCGGAAAAATCGGTCCGGCAGCGGAAAAAACCCAGCTCCCAATGAATTTAGCCAAGTATTTGCCCTGGATGAGGGGTTGAGACTAACAAGCAGCCCAGGATCAATCCTCCAATTCTCGCGTGACTCCTTCTCTGTACATCCTCTTACGTCATGGTTATGACTGTACCCCAGTAGCGGCCTCCATCCAAACCTTTCGGCTAAACCTTGAAGCAGGAGTTGGCTGACTGCCTGCAACCTCAGCCTCTGCCCCCCCAAGCCCTAAAACGGGGCCCTCATATAGAGGCCAATATAATATAAGCCTTAGTACGGAGCCCCCTTCGCTCAATTGTGTGGAACCCTGCTGCTTACACCAAGAATGCTGGCCTTCAGTTCGCTGGGCTTTGGCTTTGCAGGTACTGTGCGAGGCAGGAAACTGCTTGTGTTTAGGTTTACCGGAACACCATGCTTGCTACGGGATCTCAAGTTTTCAAATTCCCCCTGCATATTTTGCCAAGGATCATGTGATGGTTCAGAGTTTACAAGTCATGAGGGTCTGGGGCTTCAGCGCAACTAGCCTTGGAGGATCGTTGCCGTTGTTCTTTTCTGTAACAATCGGGACCCAAGGTTTTGGCCGCTGCTGCCACAGTCTGAGTGCAGTTTGGCTTTGCGAAGTGTGGCTCGAATGAGGCTTGTACCGTTGACAATATCCTTACTTGCCATTTGTTTGAAGGCAGGTTGTTGCTTTCAATGCCCAATCTCTTGCGGAGTACGTTGATTTTCCATTTCGACGGTTTGCCTCTGCACAGTGGACATGACTTGTGCATGTGTCGTCGTTACTTCGAGGCTCACTGAATAAGCTATTTGATGAGACTGCTAGCCGCATGGCAACATCAGGGCCAGGCTTCGCTTGGCTGGATGTTCTAGAGAATATGGGGCACTATCATGCTAGGATTGCTCTTGCTGCACAGCGTGTCATACGCTCCAAAGAGCTCTCAGCTTGAGTTCGCTGAGCCCGTATGCATTAATAAGGACTTGGGTCCAGAAGTCAGAAACCGAAAGCCACCATATGCACTTAACTTCACTTCACCCTGAGACATGATCTTCAATCTAGGCCTGTAGAACAAAGAACAACCGCACACCTGCAAAGCAGGCTGGCTCTTCTGGCGAGCTCTGCAGGGATTGGCTACTGCACCGATCTACACCTCCATAAGAGCCGCGCCTCAAAGCTGAGTTTTTTTCGCTTTTCAAGACTTTCCTACAGCGCCTCAAAGTAAAACCATGACAGAGGTCTTGGGCGAGGAGCAGTAAGTCGACTGTAGAGCAACTTGGGCGTCAGTTGTCTCTCCCCTTCCCCTACGTTACTTTTCAACAAAGAGTGCCTTATGCAGATGCGCCTGCATTCGTTGATCATGATGTAGCTGTGGTTTTTCAAAAGCTGTCTTGCATCGATTTCAGGGGTGTCCGAGACGAGGGTCGGCACTGTTTGGTGGGACTTGTTTGGTTCCCTTCAGGGTCCAGATGTCCTGTGAGGAGGAGAGCTCATTGTAGTCTGACTCTAAAGCTCGCCATACAGGTTTGCCACCATAATCATCCTGACTTCGTGTTACTGTTGACTGCTGGTAGTACTATCTTCATTACGACCAGATTCACCATGCTCCCTCCCGCAATCCATCTTGATGCTGCCACCATGCTAGTTACAACAATGTTCTCCTCATCATTGTCATCGTTGAGAATCGCCCTGAAGTCACGAACAGTCTCCCAGGTAGAATGATACGGCCAGAGAACGCAAAGGCAATAACGACATTTTTCTGCGATAGGGCCAGCTTCTTAGTGCTATCATCAGGATGTATCCTGTAACCTCCACAGTTTGTGGCTGTGTTGTTGGCAAGCATCACAGTCGTACCGCTGACGTGCAATGTCTTTGTTGACTGCTCGTATGGTGTGATAGAGGTACAAAAAGGCAGCGATCCCTGATGAAGCTTACCTCGGCGTCGGATTTCTAAGCCGGCCTGGACCCCTTTGCTGTTGTTTGTACAAAAGATTAAGCGACAGGGTAGGCAGTCAAAGCAAACTTTCAATGTACGTGCAGGTACCCGTCTAGCGCGCAGCTTCACTGGCCACGGCGAGTTCCATCAAGTTGTTGGCATACAGGCCTCCTTTCTTGTTATGTCCGAGTAGTACTCACAGAGTTTTCGTGATGACTCTTCGAGAGATGGGAGTAAGCTGCGAGAAAATTTCGTCAGCTTGGCCGCGACAACTTTTTTACTCTTTGTGCTCACTGGGGATGGACGTGGAGGTCTTCTTCTTGCACATAGATAGAACACAAAAGACACGCCAGCCAAAAGACGGCAGGATGGGAGGTTCGGGGTCTGGACACAGAGTTTGGGCAAGTGCGGGATTTCCCAGTTTTGGGCTTGCGCTTTCAGGATTCATGAATCAGGCTTCAAGCATTAGTGGGAGGTGGATTCTCGGAGTACCAACGATTTCTTGCTTTTTGCACATAAAGGTTTCCAAAAGTCATGGGCTCCCTTTCTGGGAGTGCCTATCACAGAGGTTTGTTGATTACAATATATTGGGGTCAGTATTGGGTGCCCCGTCCATTTATGGAACCCCTCACCCAGCTAGGTGCGGCTAAGATGAGCAGACACTTCTAGCTCTTGCATGTGAAGTCACGTTTTCGTATGTGCCTGAAAATAGTGACCTGAGCCGTGCACAAGTGTTCCGAGGATGTTCCGAACATGAGGCAGCACTACCCGGAGTTATTGAACCCCTAGCTGGAATACCTCTGCAGGAGATGCTGGGCAACGCAGGAGTCACCATCGCACCTCTTCTCGGAGGATTTCTGAGCACTACAGCCCAAGTTTAGGGTCGGGTGTTGTGTTTGAGTTTTCGAGTTTCGTTGGCTGCAGGAGCCAGGGATCCAAGATCTAAGCAGTTGAAATTAGGCATTCTTGGGGTTTAGGAGTAGGGACTTTCTCAAAGTGGGGTTCAGTTAAAGGTCATTCCTCTCGGGTCCGACAGCAAGACCAACTCAAGCAATACACTTGTTGACTTGTCGTCATCTTCATCATTGTAGTGGTCGTGCTACCTGTGCCCGAACCTGACAAACAATTTCAAATCTCACAGGAGTGTTGTTTTCGTGGGGTGGCCGCTGCCTCAGAGCTTTGAATCATGGGGGATGGCACCTTGAGATTTCTTAGAGGCTTTCCGGCAACCATGGAGAGATTTGCTCTGAAGAGAGCCGTTTGCAAGTAACGTGCATTTCTGGGATACTGCTTTGCAGGCCTTTACATTTATTCTGGTAAAGAACACACAAGATTACAAGCCATGTGGGGTTCAATGCTGAGGCTTGCAGTTTCATCGGTTCAAGATTCGCAGGTATCTTGAACGGGGAAAGCGGGTCTGCGGCAGAACCATCAACACGCACACTAAGTCTGTCTCTAGGTGAAGGTCTTGCTACAACCCACAAAGCCCAGCCTAAATGGTCAAGCCGGTGCTGACCCAGCTGCTATATTACGGGTGTGAAGAATCGACACTGCTTGTCCAAAAACATGGATCCACTACTTTTTGGCTGTTGTAGAGGCCTGAGGTCATGAGAAATGCTGTGACAGAAGCTTTCTGCTGGATGCCCAATCCCCATGCCTTGATTCCTGATTCTTCAGCATTCATAAGAGTAACCTCACACCAGAATTTGGTATTGCTCTTGAAGGACCCAAACACCAAGATGCCTCCTGTTGTCCACCTTCAGGGAGAAAGAGTTTACACATGTAGGGTCCGCAGTAGTATGTTAATCTGTACATGCAAAAACTTATTGCCAAAATTGACAAGCAGTTTTTGCTAGTTCCTCAGCTTCTCAGTACTTGTAAAAAACAATAAGACAACTGCTGCTGCTGCTGCTGCTGCTGCTGCTGCTGCTGCTGCTGCTGCTGCTTCCTTGGCGACAGCGATGGCGGCGATGACTACTTTACAACGCAGTGGCAGCTGTTACTATTGCCCTTACTGTTCTTGTGTTATTCGCTGTCCTGTACTGCCGTTCCGTACTCCTGTACTCCTGCGTAACATACTCTACTTGGAACTCTCACTCCCACTACGGCGACTGTTCTGGCATTCCTTCCGAAACCGCATGTCAAGGCTTCAAGCTTCCTTTCATCCTGAGTGCCGTCATGCACCTGCTCTTTCTTGGAGCGCCTTAGCAAAGAATGTTGTTCCTTCTTGCGGGGGTTAGGTGCCCAAATTCTAATCTTATTTTGGGGGTTCCTTTACTTAGCACTCTATTTTATCCTATGAAGTGGTACTGAAGAAGGATGTCTGCACAAAGTAGCGTGTGATTGGAATGTTGGTAGAAACGTTCTGCAAACTTCTCAGTAGATTTCTAGTGAGTGTCTCGGCAATTTGCATCATGTGTACCCTGACTCGAGCATAGCACATGCCATAGCCTTCCACCTGCTTCATTTGTTTGATGTTGGGTTTCAGAACTCTTGGATGTAAGGGTCAGCGAACAGGCGACTCGTTTGTTTTCAACAACTTACGCCCAAGAGGAGTTTAAGCATTCGAAACTCTCCTGACAAATGTGGCTTAACAATGCAAAGCTTATGGGTAGGCATTATGTGCGATGCTCTCAACGGTGTGTGCATGAGTGAGCGTATGGCTCTACCACCATGACATACGTTCTCCAGTGGCATTGTGATCCTTCGAGACTTACTTAGAGTATGCTGCGCAACATGAAGCCATAGCCTGACAGTGAAGCCCAGATCAAGTAGCCTCTCGCTCAGATTACGCTCTGCTCCAGAGATCCAGATACGAGCGAATCGCAGCCGCTGTTGGAGGGACACTCGACCGATTCAAGTAATTAGAGAGCTTGTGGTTTTGGAGGCTTACGGTGGTCCGACATTTGACATTGCAAAGGTCTTGTTCTTGATGAACACATTCAGGGCTAGCCATGAAGTAGCCCAGGATCTTCTTCAGTCCTGTCGCCTGTGATGGTCTAGGTTTCATGTAGTCACTTATTTAATGTATTTGTTTGTTTTTCGTTGTTGCTACGGTGATTTGTCCGCTGTTAATTTTTCCTACCATCCTGAGTCTGCTGGAAGACTTGGCTCAGGCAACTGCCCGTCAGTGTGGCAGGAGCAGCATACCCACATTGCATTTCAAATCCTGGAGAAAACATCTTCCAAGCCGCAGGGCCACAAAGCCCATGGCCCAGCAATGATTTGAAGACAGCCTAGCAACACCAGGAGGGACAACACCCGCAACTCTCAGAGCCTCTCGTCAACCCTGAAAACAGTACGCGCTATCCCATGTGGTGCAAACTCTTTTTCGGCAACATAGCACGTGTGTCAAGTGATACCATGAGAGCAAGGGACGTCTTCCACTAAGTCAAGTTTCATGCAGAAGGCCAAATATTTCTGAACATAAGATCCCCAAACCTCATTGTCTTGAGTGAAGCTGCTCCATTGTGACTTCCTACACGTTCTGTTGCTGGAAGTGGGCAGTATGCGTATGCCCCGACAACCAAAGCTTCTCTGAAGCTTCTAAATGCGCTCTGCCTAAACGCAATGTGGTGCTGGTAGTGCTGCACGTTCTTGTCGCCGTAGTCGTTGCAAAAACCATGTGGGGTATGCAAAATTTTGCACAGCTGGTCTGGGTGCAGATTAGGGTGCTTGCATGTTGGTGTCCCAGAAATGGTTTAGGTTTTTGATACGAACCCTCGTGACTGTTCCAGGTCAGCAAGGCGAGACTGAAGCTGAAGCGCCTCAGCTTTCATGGCCCAAAGATGCCTCAGGCAAAGCTGCAGGTGGACAGGTGCCGAGCCGTTAGCTGCAATGACCGTTGAGGAAAGAAGGATAGCTCCACAGCGTCCGCTGGACACCCAAGGGTTTAGTTGGTAAGCCCAGCTGAAAGTGTTCTGCATCTAAATTGCAAATTTTTGAGAAGATGTTGTGTAACATGGGGACTACGCGCGGTCTGGGTGAGCTGCAAGTGCCAACACGACAGATCGCTCAGCGTCACTCGTCAAACCTGTTAAAGGTTCTCACCGCGTTGATGTACAGAAGACATACATATCACCTGGTACCGTCAACTCTACCTCCAAACTTGGATGTCTCAACTTTCGTTGCAGACACCCCCGCTCTCTCTCTATCTCTCTCTGTCCCTCTCTCTCTCTCTCTCTCTCTCTGTCACACACACGCACCTTAGCATCCTGAACAGAAGACTTTTCAACGCTCAAAGTACTTTGCATGTCATGAGGGCCTGAGAGAAGTGGGCACCCTTCGCAGGAAAGGCGCGAGCTTCCTCTCATACACTCCCACCCTAGCCGACACCTTTGATCAGATTGCTGGACACCCGCACCTGAAGTTCTGCATTTTTTTGGGTGGCTTGTCTGGAGCAACCAGAGGGCAGCTTCTGCTGCTGATGTATGCATCGTCGCAAAAGGCTGATAGAGACCTGGAGCTCTAACATACAGTCCCAAGAACAGGACCAGCAGTAGTCTAAGCTCCAAAACCTGATCCCGACACGCTCCTGGGGTGTGGGGTGTGTGAGGCTACTGCTTCGTCTGTGGCATCGCTGCCAGTGATGCTGCTGAACGTCGTTCCATTGTTGCTAGGCTTGCCAAGGTTAGGGTGAGGCTTGGGGTTAACTTGTCAAAGGTTCCTCAAGCGCCAGCGGTTGAGCGCAGGAGGTTTGGTGGAGTTCGGCATTCTTGCCAAGGGGTCAGGGCATTGCTCGGAGGAGTAGCTTCAGGGATTTTCCTTGAAGCTGACTGTGGAGCAAGCATTCTGCAGAAAGTTGAGGTGGCACCCTGCAGCCAGAGTATGCAGCATGCATCCATGCATCTTAGCCATTTTTTTCACAATAGCCAATAAAGCCAGTTGGATTCCCTTTTGAATATGTGTTGGAAAAGGCTACCCGCGTTTTCTGAAATCCCATAGCTGTTGGATTACCACATGCCTGCCTGGCCAGCTATGAATCATAGTAGTTTGCATTTTATTTTCCATTATCCCAATATATCCTCTATAAACCCCAATATATCCCCTGTATAGTATACTATAATAGTTTCCATTTTCTTTTCCATTATCCCTGTATTGCCTTCTCACCAAAGAGCACCCGCGACGGCGCAGCACCTTGAGAGTCTCCACCACCCAAGATTAGAGCCCTCATGGCCGTGAATTTATCATCATTATTGTTGTTACTTGTTACTATTACTATGCCCATTCCAGGGTCTGCCTGGGTGTCTTTGGTGGCTATGAGCCGATTTTGGGAAGCTGGATTGCAAGAAGTGGGTACGTGAGCAAAAGGATCCAGATTCGAGAGTAAGGACTTCATCAGGCTGCTGAGGTCAGGGCAGTGGCTTGCTGAAGACCCTAAATTGTGAGCTGTGAGATTGTATTGTCAAACTAATGTTTATTGCCAGTATGGAGACAAAATCTTGGAGTTTCGGCAAGAATCAGTGTAGCTGCTTAAGTATGTTTCAAGCTGTTCAGGTTTGAACATAGGGTTGCGGGGCTGGTGGTTGCCTTGCAAACTTCTGCAGAGTGCCAGCGTGGGCTTTACTCCCCCCTGCTGTATCAACGGCTCGTCTTCATGTACGAGAAAAGTGGGAGTAGATGGCTCAACATAGTATGTTACAATCGTTACTACTATAATCTACTATATCTGTACTTCTTATTACAAATATTAGTCCTATTCTAGTTTCTACAGGTGTATTGCGGTCATGATCACTATCGTTGTTGCTACTATGATTTTATTGTTGGTGACAGACAGGAAATCCTTGAAGCGAAGTAGGAGACGTTTCATGCTAGTATGGGTAGTATCCCAATAGTGCAGAATCAAATACAGAATGAAGTGAACACTACAAAACATATGAGCTATAGTCTAAACTCCTAGTATCCCCCTTAGCAACCCCTGTAGTAGTCCCCTATATACTCCCCTATATAACCCCTTTAAGGAGTTTAGACTAAAGCTCATATGGGTGTTATACAGGGCATCTCTCATCTTCAATCTTCAGAGTGAGAAGTTGCTACTACGGTGACACCCGGTGAAGCTTGAAGGACTTCTGTGTGAGCGGTTGCATGAAAGCAGAAGCCCACATGAGTAAGCGCACGACGTCTCTGTGGAAGCTTTTCCCGACGTTCAAGACTCTTCAAATATGTTTCATGGATTCATCGGTGTTCTCAAGCTAGAGTCCGCTAAAGCTGAACAAGTCTGCAAAGCCACACCGCTGATAGAAGTGCAATGAAGCCTTGGCCAGGCGGGCTTCAGCACGTGTTGGCTTTGCTGTGTCTACTACTCTCCGATTCTGCAGCCCCCGTCCCTCCGGATGATAAAGATTCATATTACGATCCTGGCAATGGTTATTGTTGGGGTAGAGGCGTTATCATGAGCATGGAGAATGCTGCGGTAGGTAACCTAGTAATCCTCAATGATCCCTCAGCCTGTCTAGTGCTCCCCATGGCTCTCACATGTTCCCCAGTGCCTACCTTCTTGGGCCCACCCCTCTCACCGTTCTGGTAAAACAACGATCATTGTCATGATATGTTGGGACTGCTTTCATACTTGATCATGGTCAGCAGCTGCTGATTGAGCAGCTGCTAGCAAATTTGTTTAGGTATTAGTTGTGGTGCCACGGACTAATTCTGCACATGCTATCACTCCTTTTGCTGCTGCTGCTGCTGCTGCTGCTGCTGCGCTCATGCTGCACTTCTGTTGCCGCCGCCACGGTAACAATTCTGATGACCTCCACTCCTGCTCGTGATCTTTCTCTTCCTCCTCTTCTTCTTGCTTCTCCTGCTCCGACTAGAAGTTATCTTGCCATTGGGACGATCACCTGATGTTATTGTTGGCCGTGCGGGTTGTTTGTCGCTTTAGCATCAGGCTCGCGATTTCGAGATGCTCCTCGACAGTATTCTGGAGCTCGGGGCGAGTTGGGCCCATGCAATTTGACTATGGGGTCTTGGGTGTGGGTGGTCAAATACTGTAAGCCTGTGTCGGTTGACGTCAATTTCAAACGTTGGCATCCAGCTTTGAGCAGCGCGACGAAGTGTAAACTGTAAACTGTGCAGCGGCTACCCCGTAGAAGTACACAAATGGAGTCTCACAGGCATAATGAATGATTAGTCAGAATTTGGAAATTGACTGGTTGTGATAAGAACCGCTTAAGTGCGACGATTGTACTGATCGAAGCCGGCCACTTCTAGAGCAAATCTCGTTGCTTTGATTCCACGCGCTTCCGCTCCTACGAATTCGTCTTGTGCTTCTCAGTACTTTGGCATTGCGATTTTCACCAAGCGGATATTTAGAGATCTAAAGCTAGGATTGCCTGATTTCGGGCTTGCGGCTGACTGAATTGAAGCAGTTGCAGCCGCCATAGCCTAGTGCTGGACAGATATCAGGCCACATTGGATCTCTCATCGTCGGCTGCGATTTGCGGAGTTCCTAGATGCTAGATGCTGTTCCGGGTTTATCTAGACCTCAGATTCTAAAGACAAAGCCCAAGCGGCACATGCCAGCTGTGGACAATTAGGAAGGCACATTAGTCGCACGTTCAAATCCGAATCGCACACAAAGCAGAAAACTGAAAATGCTATTCAATCCACATCCGAAGGTGTTGGGCCCAATCCACCCAGCAACCGTTGGCTTCCTGATGTCGATGCGAGGGACTTGGGTGAGATCTCAGTTGCTACGGCTGCTAAGGGTCGCTGTAAGCATTTTGAAGCAAGTTGCTGAGGATGAAAGATTTTGTGTAGACAGTGTTTAGGCCCTAGGGCCGCTGACGTAAGTCGAGGGGTCATGCTGAAGGTATGGGTACCCAAGGGTCCCGCAAACTAAGGTCCACAGAGGGGTCCAATCCCCGGCTTTAATACTATTTGGTCGGAGGCTCTCCCCACGAAGAGACGTAGGGCTGACCAAAGTGCAACAGATTTACAACCTTTCCAGCCATTCTGAGCGTACCCCACCATGACCACCAGGGAAGCCTTGATCAGTTTTCAGGCGTGCAGCGAAAACATTATTGTGGTTACATCCTTGCGGACCATGCCATTCTTACCAGTCCTTTTCAACATGAACACGTCGCCACCTCACAGTGCATCAGCATGTTGATTAGTATCTGCAATGCATGCATAGTTAAATGCATGGTCTTAAGGCCTTAAACTCTAGCAGGACAGGTTGGTGGAGCTCAGGAGATCCCCCAAGCCTAAAGCAAAAGTGGCCCGGGCCACCACAAAAGGGGACTCCAGATCTTCCGAGATTCTGCGCTTACATTCTATCGTGCCTGATGGTGTGTGACGTACAAAAAGAAAACCTCTTAACCCTAATGGCCCGAATCTTGTTGGTTGTTAGTAGGGAAGAAGGGAATACAATTCTAGCGACCACTATATAACAACTTCCTTATTCCCTACTAGCCCCCAGTAAGTCTTCCCTAGTCTCAGGGTTGGAGTGCCATCGCGGGTCAATCATTTGGATAACTGGGGTTACTATGGTTCATAGGAGTTATCAGTACACCTAATCGCTTCCTCCTAATAATAAGTAACGTTTCTCCCTATCATTAAATACATAATTTGAGGCCCGAAAAAACTATTTAATGTAGCCGGGGGTTCCGTTGACAAACTTAGATTGGGCTGCCGTTAAAATCCTTTTCAACGCCATGGGAAGTCAATAATCAGTTCATTAATTCAGTTAGTTTAGTACGTTAATCAATAACTGAACATTTAACCAAGTGAGGGTATTTATTTCATTCAGATATAAAATATTTAACAATTGATAATTCTGGAGCGCCCTCAATTCATCATTAAATGGCTCCTCTTGAAGCAGTCTTTCCCTTGTAAATGTGCTCTTCCGTTAGTTCATTTTCTAATATTAAGGGGGGGATTGAAATTTCGGGGGAGGTAATTGCGAAGTGCCCCTGACCCTCCAAGTAGTCTCAGGTCTGGAGTGCCGTCAACCTTCTTTACCTTCTTCGTGCCAGCTTTAGTGGAGCGGATCGGCTCGCGGATGCTGATGACGCTGGGCTCCCCGACGGCACTATGGTGGGCTTAGGGTCACTGGGGTTAGGGTTTAGGGTTTAGGGGTTAGGGTTTAGGGTTTAGGGGTTTAGGGTTTAGATAGAATATGGTTTTGGGTATATTGTAATAGGATCCTCATACCCCATATTCTATCTACTTAAGGGGGACTATATTAGGTAATCTACAGAGGTCATATTCCCGTGCTCCCTACTAGCTGCTAGCCACCAGTAAGTTTAGGGTGCTCCGTGGCGGAGGTTCCACACCGGGTAAGTTCAGGAACTTCAGGGTCTGCAGATACCCAGATACCCGCCAGAATTGTCTGAAGAAAATGTCTCATGCAGCCTACAAAAGCTCACTACAAACAGGTTCTACACCCTAAAAAGACGTATTGTTGTTTTAGACCAGCCCGCACCAGCTTGTGGACATTTTTTGACTGAAGGGCCCCAAGGATTTTGACAGCTTCCGCAACAGGATAGAGTTCCCTTGACACAGTACTGCCTCGTCTCCAGAGGGTTTGCCAGACTATGTTGATGTCTTTTTCAGATGACATCTTACAAGGTGAGTATTTCCGTTTCGGTCCAGCTGGCATCCTCCTGGAACCGCAAATGGTCGATTGCCTAAATGGAGGGACTCCAATACAGCTCCAATCCTTATCATGGGAGCCCACAAAAACCGTACCCCGCCAATGTTGGGAAACCCCCCAAAAACCCTAAACCCTACATATCCCTACACAACTCCCCTTTAACATGTACCCCTAAGTTTGGGAAACCCCCAAATATCTGCAACTCTAAACCCTAAACCCTAAACCCTAATATCTGCAACTTGTGGTTGTTCAAGGCTTGCTTCTCTACGCCCTGGGCACCTTCTGCTTTGGTCTCCCTCCGGGTGCTACAGGCTCCACGATGCTTCGTGGCTGGCGAGTCACAGGTGTGGGCATTGTAATCCCTTCCCCCTAATATCAAACGACGTCTCCCCCCATAGTGTTGAATAATTCGGGTCCCGAACAGTGAGTTAATGTCATGGGGGAGATTTATTGAACTAATTAGATAGGGCTTCCTCTAAGCTACTTTTTAATTCGATGAAGAATGCATGAACTAAGTCTAAAATTGAACACTTTTAGAAATTATATGGAAACAATCATAACCTCAAGGGGATCCCCTATTTCTTTTGAATTTATTATGCCCCCCTAATGACCCCAACCCCGCCCACCCCCCCAAATCATTCTTAGGTGGCCCCTTTAAAAGGTAGTCTTTAGGATTTTGCGTTTATTGTTTAATATTGGGGGGTTTTATTATTAGGGGAAAGGGATTAGCTTTGTAGCCGAACCTAGCATTTGGTAGGGTCTTAGATGGCAGTCTCCTCAAGTTTGGCAGAGTTAATGGCTGGTAGAGGCTAATTTCAGGCGTTTTCAGATGGGGTCCCGTGATGGGTGCTCCTATGCAACCTTTAGTGCTTCTAAGCCTCTGAGCTTGCCCATGGCATGTAGCTCGATGCCCTCGAGTGCAAGAGAAAAAGTAATCCAGCAGCCAGTTTCAATTCTCTGATACCACCATGAATCAAGAATTGGCAGAGGAGACTTGACAATGAACATGAAGACTTTACTGCAGGATGCGGGACCAGAATCGAACACTAGATCGAATCTCTTCTGAAAGTCTGCAAAGACCTCCTCAAGCCAGTAGTCCAAGGAATTGGACCGCGCAGCTGGCAGCCTTGATGTTGATCGGCACCATGGCTTTCTTCCTCATCTTCTTTTATTGTAGGGGTAATGGAAAAGAAAATGGAAACTACTATATAGTATATTGGGGTTATATTGGGATAATGGGAAAGAAAATGGAAACTACTTGGCTTCTGCTTTATGATCATTACCCATGCGGTTGGCGACCTCATTGCATATGAGCATCAGGCGTCTCTTCTTAACGGTATGGGTTTGCTACTGGGTATATCAACGACCCCTTGCGAATTCATGACTTTGACCCTGTATTCAGCCGCATACCACGGGTACCATTCGCAACCAAGGAACCCCTGTGAGGCTCAGCAGGCCGACAACCTACAATAATTAGTCACTTGTCCCACCCAGCTTGCGAAAGTGCGAAGCACAAGTGGTTCTCTATTTCTCCAATGAAATGTAGGACTTGGGTTGATGAGTCGTTTGATTCTTCACTTGGCCCATGTTGGCATGAAGATGATCTACGCCCTTTTGTGAAGGCTATGGGTATGTGCAGCTGAGGGCTGGAACATACGAACAGCCAGTATGAAATCTTTAGGCCAAGTACTTTAACTAACCCTCCTGCAGCCCCCGTCATCAGCCCCCCAAAGCCAGGCACTGGCTGGGCCCTCTGCTGGACCCCTGCTCTGCCCTGCATGGCTGGGAGCCACAGCACACTGACCTACAGGTTTACAACAATTCGGCATATTGAAATGTACTTTAAGGTTGGCATCATGTGCACCAGTCTGAGACTTCATCCTTTGCAACATAGCGATCTGTCTCTATTTGTTGGAGTTCTAGATGGCTGACTAGACTTTGAGCCCGTCCTTGTCCCAACAGCACCTCACCTTCCATGATGAGACCCCTAAATTACTTCTGGACTAGATTCGCAGCATTTCAGACGTGAAGACCTGGCAGCGGCAGCCTCACTAGGAGCGGATACACTTGTTGTGCTTAGTTCGTGTAGACTTTGCAATGTCTTGTCAAGGCTGCTTTTGGGACCAGAGCCTGTGAGACTGAGTGCTTCGTTCTTCTGAAAGAAGGGAGTGTCTTAGGGCATCTTGACAATCTTCATGTAGCTTGAGGTAGCCTTAATTCATCTTCCGGCAGTGATCACTCAATGGTTGTGATGCATGTGTCAGGCTGCCGTAACTGTCACCTTTGCAGTTCCAACTATCAAAGGGTTTACGAACACAGGCCCCGTGCCTCAATAAAAGAAGCCTCAGAGGGTTTTCGCATTCTGGTATTCTTGGACTTTTTGACCCTTCTGTGAGGTCGATTCTGCTGTGCTTCGCATGGTCAAGGACCCCGATTCGATGGTTCTTGTGTCAAAACTACCAGCGCTTGTCGTATCCAGATAGCAGAGCTATTGTGGTTCTTATATATAGAAAGGGGAGTCGACATACACTTGCCGGCTCAAAGTGCTGTCCAGTGTGCTTGAATGTTGTAACCGGCTATCTGGGGTCTGGGCTGGTCTAATTCTGTGTATTCGACATGGCAAGGACTCTACAAAAGCATTTTTCCGGCGGGTCTGCATGATGATCAAGGGCTTGATGATCTATACACGCATGTTGTGCTGTTCAGCCTGTATACAAGCTCTCACATCCCCTTCTTTAATTTTCCTGGCCCGCTGCTCGGAGTAACAACAGGTGACATGTTGGTAAATCTAGGTACAAATTAAGGCAGCTGAAGAATGGCCCTCCAATCTACATTCAGACAATTCCCATGCCTTCAGACGAGCGGCAAGACCGCCACTCCGATTCTTCCTTCGAGTTCAAGTTTCTTTGAGGTTTGGGGCTTGGCACGTGGAGCGTTTATAGAGAAGACTTCAAACGCCTTGCAGCCTAAATCCGAGAACCCTACATCTTGAACCAGAAATCAGTCTCAGTTCTAAGTCCTCAATACTGACTCTCAGGATACTGGGGCCTCTGCTGAGGCTCGAGGGTTGCCCTGAGACATTCTGGTGGTTAGTAGGTTCAGGGTGTGAGGGTCTAAGGTGTAGGGTGCATGGACAATGACATGGAAGCTGTGGGTTTATCGGGTTTTGGTTTAGCTTGGTGAGTTTAGTAGGGAATGAAGCAACGGAAGAGACAATGGACACTTGTATATTCTTCCATCTCATTTTCCATTTCTTTTCCATTTGATTCTCCATTATTGGGGATAATATTGGTAATGATTTAGTCCCCTATGCCCTAAACCCTTAACCATGTGATATATATTAGGGTTTATGTTGGGGCTACTGTAGGGATCGATTCCTTCACTCTTTGCCGAAAACCAGTTGGGAGACAGTGGTCTGCATGGCTTGCGCTAAGGACACTGCTAGCAATCCGAAGACGTAATGTCCACGTTTGAGGGGAAGTTTCTGTGTATGTCACGCGCACGTCATGTAATCTTGCCAGCCATCATCCCTGACATGGTTGAAGCAACCGTAATTGTATACTAGCAGTACTACTCTAATACCCTAGAATTACGTGTATTGCTTTCACAGGGCTACTGAATTCTGCGGATGAGTCCTCCCCTCCCATACCTCCTGCTGCTTCTTCAGAAAGCCCTGGGAAAAATAACAACTAGCCTTCCCGCCCTGATACCTGGGCACCACAGCTTTTGAGTTCCTACGAAGCATGATATTATATGTTCTATAGTCTAAACTCCTTTGAGGGGTTATATAGGGGACGAGTATGGGTACTAAGGGGGATACTTTGGGTTTAGGCTATGGCTCATATAGTCTTAGCCCCATTCCAAATGCAGCGAGGTCGCGCGACACAAGGTATCGCCTGCCGTGTTCTGATCTCAGTCAGCCTTTGCTTTCGATGAGGGATATATGACCCTGAGTTGTATGCTTCTTCAGGTTTAAGGTCTGGGGCATTTCTGGGTGTTGAGGGCCTGTCTCGAGTGCAAAGGTTCTAGGCTACCGCAAACCGATGCAGGAAGTATACGCTGAGGAAGCCCGACCCTTGAATAGAGTGGTGGCCAGCAATGAGTAAAAAACAACAAGTCTTTAAAGGAAGCAGGTTGGGGCATCGTGTGCGCGCTGAAGTTGGATCGGGTGAAAGGCGGAACCTGACATTTCAGCGCCTGTGGAGCCCACATCACTCCACAGAACCCCGGAACAACAAAGGGAATGGATATGTTGGGGGGTGGCAGGCTGTTGGGCTGATAGGGCTTTGTCTTGGAGTATGAAAAGCAATTTGTACCCTAGGCCAGTCGCTTCACATGGGTACAGTATACTCAATACATCGTTGATTTTGTGAGCCAGGGCGTACGCCACTGTTCTAATCTCATCTTGAGCCGAAGGACCAGGAAGCTGCATCAGGAGGAGTGCCCTTCACTTCAGTTCATCAAGGCATGAGCCAGACAAAGGAAGCATTATGCATAATACCTTGTGGTTCGCATCGCGCTGGCTTTCGCGATTTGGGTGGGACCTTTGCGGCCACAAGCGGCACAGAGCTATAACCTTCGTGAGCCTTTGGTGTGAGTCTCGAACCGCTCTCCCTTTGCCATGGCATGTCGAGCCAAATTACTAGCAGAAATGCTTGCCTTTCAACAGTAGGGGAGGTGGACGGGCTTCTTGACTGGAACCTCATGTGTTGTCACTCCGAAGTTCCTGCAACCTGTGAGTTGCTCCAAAGGGCCCACATCCACAATCCTGAAGAGAGATCTGTGCAATCCGCATACCGTGCTGAGCCATCTCGGTTGTCCCTCTTGAAATTTTCCACCGAATACCGCAGCGTTTAGCTTCAAGTCTGAGGCTCATACCCTGACACATGCAGCCATCTGAGATCGGTCTCAAGAACAGAAATCCCGTTGCTGTTCGAGCTGTTATTTTGAAGCTTTGCCATGGGTATGTGGGGATCAGACACTTGTTCTTACTTGGCCTGTTGGAAAAACAGGTCCCTAAACCCTAAACCTTAAGCCCTACATCGTAGTTTCCATTTCATTTTCTATTATGCCAATATGACCCCAGTATTACCCCAACGTGGTTGCGCCATTGTTGCGCCTCTGGTCTTTACAACCTCATGCCGCCCTCGTGTTGGGCTTTACACATGTCTCGCATACCACAAACCTTTTCAAGTCCAGTGCTTGGCGTTGGAGATAGGCTTCAAGACGTCTGCGCCTTGGTGCCTTGCCATGAAGCGCCCAGCGGCAAAGGCGCGAGTCAAGCCAGGCACCAAGAAAACAGCAGCCAGGCAGTTTGGTATTGTTTTGATAAAGACTTGGCTGCTGTCCAGTTCATGAGGATATTTTGTTGAAGTCTGGTTTGAGAAGCAGGCCCTGTCCCCAGGACATAGGTAGTGTGGAGGAAGTTCTTGTTGACTTCATGTGAGGCCATGAGAGATGGCAAGACTCCTCGGTGCTTAAGGTCTTGGTAGACCAGGAATGCAAGTGAGCTTTCTTGTGTAAGTGAACTCAGAACACGGTCGCTGCCAAGCCCGCGAAGCGTCCCAGAGCGTCGAAGAAGCAGTCCTCTTCCAAGCTGCCTGCCGATACCAAGCAGCGCAAAGCCAAGCAATCTGTGGCAAAACGATCTGCCACGCAGCCTTTGCAGCCCTGATGGACTTCAGGAGTTGTTTTGATTGCGGTCCTTCCTGCTGATGCTGCTGTTGGTGGCAATGGTGGTCGTAGTGATGTGGTTGTGGTGGCGGTTGTGTCGCTAGCTGGTGCTGGTTGTCGTGTTTGTTGTCTTTGGTAGGTTGCCCATCAAACCCTTTTCAGGCTGTGATTGCAATTGCTGTGCTCAAAACGAACATCAAAGCACAGACTCACCCCGCACGTGAATTGTTGGGGCCGAGGAAGCGTCCTTCAGCAGCCACAGGGCATTCGAGAGGGGTGTGTTCTTTGCCACGGTCCACGTTGACGTCGGAGGCCTTGGAATGAAGTTATCGGTTGCGGCAGCAGCAGCATAGCACTGAGGATGTCTAAAGATTGTGTCACGACAGAAAGTTGCTGGCATCCATCATGTGGGTGTCTGTTTCAGCTGAATGTCATCTTGAAGTAGATAGAACGTGAGAAGTTGTTAATGGCATCCTGTTTCAGCTGCATCCAGAAGAGGACCGTGATCTTTCCGTGCAGCGTTCTGTGTGTTCTTGTTCAGCTTGCTTCATTATGGCTACTTCTCATCTGCTTGCATTCGCATTTTTTGGCCAGTTTCAGGAGTTTTAGAGTGCCAACAAGACGCCCATGTTGGCTAACATGAACTCATGGTTTTCTAACACGCGAATCAATCAAGACCTTTCTAGTCAAACGGTGCATGTCAGAACATGGTTCATGTCTGCCAACGACGTGATGCTTTCGACGGGTTCCTAGAGAGAAGGAGAGATTGTGAGCTTGCTCTCAGCTGTGCATCTGTGCGGTGTCAGGCCTTCCGGCAGCTACTTTCCGAGCATTTGCTGGAGACTGGGTACAAGTATGCCAGGGCTAGTCAAAGAAGTAGAAGAAGCAGATTAGCAAACGTAGGAGTAGAAGTGATAGCGGCTGTGACAGCATTACGCAGCACGGAAAACACCAAAATTCAAAAAACCGAAACGAAGATGTCCCTTGGCTCCATCAAACATGACATACAAACTTGTCCTTGGTGATGGCGCTGTGCCTGTCACCCTGAGCGATAGCTTGCTCCGCATAAGCAGTGGAATTGAACGCAACTTCCTGTACATTGGTGCCCTCCTCTTGATCTCAGTTCTTCGTTCTTCTCCCTGAGTCGTAGATCCCAACCCGAGCTTTTTGCTGAGAAGTAGACATCCGAAAACTTGTTGCAAGGAGTGCCGAAGTGTAGTTGTTTTTGTCTCGCACTGGTGTGAACTTCACAAAGTTGATTGTTTGGAGTGGGGTCTTATTTAGGTGGACCCCACACCCAGTAATGGTGAATATGAGAGATAATAGTGACTATAATAGAGCCTCTTATATTCCTATTATACCACTGTTACAGGGTGGGGGGTCCTCCTAAGGTCTCACCATGAGCAAGGGCTTCGCTTCAAATGGAAGCGTCCCTAAACATGGTAACCCCAATATAGAGCCCCAAAATATTACAATCCTTTTTATTGGGACCCCAAATGCTACCCCTAATTTTGGGAAACCTGAAGCCCTAAATTTCTCAACCCTACATATCCTTTAGTTTTGGGAAAATATCAAATCGGCTGTATGTCCTGGTGAAGTCCTTGCCTGGCTGTTTAGCTAGGACCCGATGTACACACAATGCCTTGACAGCAACATCAACTGTGCTATAGTCTAACCTCCTTGAAGAGGGTTATTTCGGATATTATATAGGGGACAGCTCCTTACAGTTGGATTTTATAGGGTTTAGGGTTCAGGATGTGGTCACAGCATAGGGTGCTCGCTGTTGTGGGACACACCCAGGCCGCTTGCACCGGTGCATAGCAGTCAACCCACCGCATGACCATCGCGAGTTCAAGCAATTTAGGGTTTAGTTCCTAAAGTTTTAAGGGCATCCCGGCAGGGGCCCAGGCAGCACGGACGAGGGCCGCTGTTCAAACGGGGACCGGGCCTGACCTGATGCACTTCAAGGTTCTGGCCTTCTGGGAGGTTGTTTTGCCGAATAGGTTGACATCCAAGGCCAAAGCAAGGACCGTCGGCGGTCGCGACGACGCGCTGTTGGGTTACTTCCGAGGCTGCGTGGTGCAGCCGCGCTTTCAATGGTAATGGGTCAGTGTTGGCTTTTTGTGACGCTTTTCCTTGGTGGTCAGCATTCGCGACGTGATGTTGGGTTACCTCCGAGGCTGCATGGGACAGCCCATAGTGCTACAAAGCCATGCCTGGGAGGCGCCTGAAAGTCCCCTGAACCGTAAGGCGCCCGGGAATCTGTGGGAGGCCCCGTGACATTCTTTGCCGCTCGCGAAGCTCGGNNCTTCGGGCTCCGCGTGGCGGTTGCGGAGCCCTCATCTAACACTTTAGGGCCTAATCTTCTTAAAGCCGGTTGTAAGGGAATTATATAGGGGACGTTTATAGGGGTTATGAAGGGGGACAATGTGAACTGATATTTTCCCAAAACAAGGAGACCCCGATATAGATTCAAAACTTTTGTTTCAGGAGCCCCAGAAAGGTACACCCCAAATTTGGGAAACCCTAAGCCATAAACCCTATACCAAAAAGGTACACTAATGTTAGGAAACCCTCAAATCCAAGGAGTCGATGTACAAGCAGATCCACCTGGAGAGCGCCCTCTGCGGAGATTGGTGTTTGGGAATTTGGAGTCTGTGAAATGCAGTTCTGGTTGTGAGATCTTGGTATTTTGAAATGAAATTGCTTGATTTCGCAGTCGCAGTCATACATCGTGAATGTTCCGAATGTTTCAATCCAGGACTCTGAAACTGCCCAATCCTCCACACCCAAACTTCGAACGCTTGACCTCCAGTAGTTGACTAGCTGTGAAATCAGCTCGGGGATTTTTGCTGGGTTGTCGCGGATATGATTCGCAGAACTGCTTCCTTCAGAAGAGATTTAGCTTCTTAGGGGTTTAGTTCAACCTAAATGAGACCTCGGGCCAAAACTTCGAGCACGTCTGGTCACAACAGTTGTAGTCCACATCCCAATATCAGCGATTCTTTTGGTAAGAACCCTCTTCAGTTTTGGCCTGCTGAAGGTGTCGTCGCCGGGCGTGACTGGTCCCTGTCCTTGGACAGAGCTGTTGAGAAGTACGGCAAGCTGTGCTTTGGTGAGGACTTTGCAGTGCAAAAGAGAGGGGGCAGGGCTTGGGGCTGCCTTTTGATGTAACCTAGGCTTTGTTTGCAGAGTGTGTGGCCACATGCCGACGGCCGAAGAGTCAGGCT